AGTTCTAGTTCAGTTCTAGTTCAGTTCTAGTTCAGTTATATTTCTGTTCTAGTTCAGTACTAGTTCAGTACTAGTTCAGTTCTAGATCAGTTCTAGATCAGTTCTAGTTCAGTTCTAGTTCAGTTCTAGTTCAGTTCTAGTTCAGTTCTAATTCAGTTCTAGTTCAGTTCTAGTTCAGTTTTAGTTCAGTTCTAGTTCAGTTCTAGTTCAGTTCTAATTCAGTTCTAATTCAGTTCTAGTTCAGTTCTAGTTCAGTTCTAGTTCAGTTCTAGTTCAGTTCTAGTTCAGTTCTAATTCAGTTCTAATTCAATTCTAATTCAGTTCTAGTTCAGTTCTAGTTCAGTTTTAGTTCAGTTCTAGTTCAGTTCTAGTTCAGTTTTAGTTCAGTTCTAGTTCAGTTCTAGTTCAGTTCTAGTTCAGTTCTAGTTCAGTTCTAGTTCAGTTCTAGTTCAGTTCTAGTTCAGTTCTAGTTCAGTTCTAGTTCAGTTCCAGTTCAGTTCTAGTTCAGTTCTAGTTCAGTTCTAGTTCAGTTCTAGTTCATTTCTAGTTCAGTTCTAGTTCAGTTCTAGTTCAGTTCTAGTTCAGTTCTAGTTCAGTTCTAGTTCAGTTCTAGTTCAGTTCTAATTCAGTTCTAGTTCAGTTCTAGTTCAGTTCTAGTTCAGTTCTAGTTCAGTTCTAGTTCAGTTCTAGTTCAGTTATATTTCTGTTCTAGTTCAGTACTAGTTCAGTACTAGTTCAGTTCTAGATCAGTTCTAGATCAGTTCTAGTTCAGTTCTAGTTCAGTTCTAGTTCAGTTCTAGTTCAGTTCTAATTCAGTTCTAGTTCAGTTCTAGTTCAGTTTAGTTCAGTTCTAGTTCAGTTCTAGTTCAGTTCTAATTCAGTTCTAATTCAGTTCTAGTTCAGTTCTAGTTCAGTTCTAGTTCAGTTCTAGTTCAGTTCTAGTTCAGTTCTAATTCAGTTCTAATTCAATTCGAATTCAGTTCTAGTTCAGTTCTAGTTCAGTTTTAGTTCAGTTTCTAGTTCAGTTCTAGTTCAGTTTTAGTTCAGTTCTAGTTCAGTTCTAGTTCAGTTCTAGTTCAGTTCTAGTTCAGTTCTAGTTCAGTTCTAGTTCAGTTCTAGTTCAGTTCTAGTTCAGTTCTAGTTCAGTTCTAGTTCAGTTCTAGTTCAGTTCTAGTTCAGTTCTAGTTCAGTTCTAGTTCAGTACTAGTTCAGTTCTAGATCAGTTCTAGATCAGTTCTAGTACAGTTCTAGTTCATTCTAGTTCAGTTCTAGTTCAGTTCTAGTTCAGTTCTAGTTCAGTTCTAGTTCAGTTTTAGTTCAGTTCGTTCAGTTCTAGTTCAGTTCTAGTTCAGTTCTAGTTCAGTTCTAGTTCAGTTCTAGTTCAGTTCTAGTTGTTCTAGTTCAGTTTAGTTCAGTTCTAGTTCAGTTCTAGTTCAGTTCTAGTTCAGTTCTAGTTCAGTTCTAGTTCAGTTAGTTCAGTTCTAGTTCAGTTCTAGATCAGTTCTAGATCAGTTCTAGTTCAGTTCTAGTTCAGTTCTAGTTCAGTTCTAGTTCAGTTCTAGTTCAGTTCTAGTTCTTTAGTTCAGTTCTAGTTCAGTTTTAATTCAGTTCTAGTTCAGTTCTAGTTCAGTTCTAGTCAGTTTTAGTTCAGTTCTAGTTCAGTCTAATTCAGTTCTAATTCAGTTCTAGTTCAGTTCTAGTTCAGTTCTAATTCAGTTCTAGTTCAGTTCTAGTTCAGTTCTAATTCAGTTCTAGTTCAGTTCTAGTTTCAGTTCTAGTTCAGTTCTAGTTCAGTTCTAGTTAAGTTCTAGTTCAGTTCTAGTTCAGTTTCTAGTTTCAGTTCTAGTTCAGTTCTAGTTCAATTCTAGTTCTGTCCTACCTCTCTTCTTCACCACAAAATTAGCATTTTAAACTTTTTTCAGAAATTATTAAAAATTCAACAAAGTTTAGTTAAAAACTCAATAAGAAAATTTTTAATAACAAAACATATACCAATAATTGCTATAAAAAAATTCATAAATTAAAAAAGTTTAATCCTTTTTTATAACAAAAAAAAAAATTCTGACCCAAATTTTTTTTTTTTTTTTGTTTAATACCACCTCTTATATTTCAATTATTTTTCTTTCTAATGCTGACAATTGTTTGGTAATTAAACTAACACTTAAAAAATACAAAATAAACAATTAGAAAAAGAATAGAATTTATTTAACAATAAAAAAATCAAATTAAATATGAATTTGTCCTTTTTTGTAGACACAATTAAAATCAATCACCAGTAACTAATTCTACTGTAAATTTAGAGATTGTGTTTTATTTGTTTTACTAACAACCCTCCTGAAAAGCACCCTCCTAAACCCCAGCAACCCAGTACTAACTTTTTGTTTTAAAGTAGAATATTTAAAATTGCAACCAACCATCTCCATTAGTGGGTAAAAATCACATTCTAGTTTTGTGTTGTTTATTTTGTTTCCTTCTATTTTACACTCCTCTAAATTTGACTAATTAACATTTAATGCCTTTCTCTTTTTGGTTTTTATGCGAAATTCATTTAATTACTTTACTTTAGTTTCCAGTTTTTCAGTTAAGTTCACTTCCGTTTTTAAGCTGCCGCCAGTTCCGTTTTTATTTTTCATGTTGTTGTGCTTCTTTTGGCACAAAGAAATTTTATGCCACACTTACATTTGGAGAGTGTCCTTTTTTCAGCTGCTGTTTGGTAACAAAAAAAAAGGCAGTGCAATTTCTTGCAGCAACTGCTTTGCAGTTGAAGTGCTAGCAGTTGTTTACAAAATTAAAATTATTATAGGATTTCGTAAGATTCTTTCAGTTTACGTTGGGAATTTTCTTTTGACAGGTACAAGAATTTATGGCAGACGCCAGTAGTGTAGGAGTTTTAGTACTAGTGTCGCAAATTTGGTCAAAGCAGTTGTTAATAAGTGCATAATTTTAAGAGATTCTTAAAATTTTCACTTTGACTTTAGTTTATTAATTTGCAAAAGTTAAATTTAAGTTTTTAGAATAAATTAAGAATTTAAAGTTCAGATTTTTTGGAACTAGAACTGACCTAGAACTGAACTAGAACTGAACTATAGCTGAACTAGAACTGAACTAGAACTGAACTAGAACTGAACTAGAACTGAACTAGAACTGAACTAGAACTGAACTAGAACTGAACTAGAACTGAACTAGAACTGAACTAGAACTGAACTAGAACTGAACTAGAACTGAACTAGAACTGAACTAGAACTGAACTAGAACTGAACTAGAACTGAACTAGAACTGAACTAGAACTGAACTAGAACTGAACTAGAACTGAACTAGAACTGAACTAGAACTGAACTAGAACTGAACTAGAACTGAACTAGAACTGAACTAGAACTGAACTAGAACTGAACTAGAACTAAACTAGAACTGAACTAGAACTGAACTAGAACTGAACTAGAACTGAACTAGAACTGAACTAGAACTGAACTAGAACTGAACTAGAACTGAACTAGAACTGAACTAGAACTGAACTAGAACTGAACTAGAACTGAACTAGAACTGAACTAGAACTAAACTAGAACTGAACTAGAACTAGAATTGAACTAAAACTGAACTAGAACTGAACTAGAACTGAATTAGAACTGAATTAGAACTGAACTAGAACTGAACTAGAACTGAACTAGTACTGAACTACAACTGAACTAGAAATGTATTAGAAACTAGAACTCTGACGAATATCCGCGTTAGTCTCTACTAGTCCTCTCATCCCCGATTCAAACACCATGACTCACGTGGAATGCTATTTAAATATTAAAAATCAATTTAATTTACATAAATGTTTTATTTTTAAGATCAAAATCTTTGCTTTATGTTCTGTCATTTTGATTGACAGCTGACACTTTAACGTTTGTAAAGTGTCAAATGAAATAAACTTAAATATCTTTAACAAATTAATTTTAATTAATTAATTTTCTCTGAGTGTTGTGGTTCATTAAAAATTGTAACAAGTAGTTGTCCATTTAAAGAAAAAAATGAGGTTAAGTTATTTTGAAAGGAAAGTGTATAATACATGGATCTGTTGTTCGCTTATTTATGTGTAAAACATTGGTGGGAAGAACGTTATATAGTGCTTTATCTAGGTGTTACGGTCCAATGTGAGAAACCCAGGTTGTTAATATATGAATAACATTGTTTCCAAGTCATTTGGACTTACATTTTAATAATTTCCCAAGCGTTATTTATTTGCGCTGTTCCTAACTTCATTTTAAAAATTCGCTGAAAATTATTGTTTCAAAGTTTTCGTTTTTTTCTTAAATTTTTTTAACATACAAATTTATTAAAAATTCCTAATTTTTTTTAGTAATTTATTCTTTTATTTATTTAAAATTTTGAGTTCTTTTTTTCATTTAGTTTTATTTTGTTTAAGCGAAAACGTTTTGTATATGAACTGCCTTGAATTGTATAAAATTTAAATTGATATAAAAAAAGCAGAAACCTTTTTACAAATATTTATGGAATTGTGTTCTTTTATAAAAAAAGAGTTCAAGTTGATTTATAATCTTATTATATTTCTACTATATATCCAAATACTATACTATATATAAAATGTTATATATCGTTTACTTTTAATATATTTTTTTTTTAAATTCTTTACCACCTTAGATGAAGAAGAGCGTTTGAAATTTTTACAGTTTTTTTTCTTTCTTTCTACTTAAATTACAAGTTACAAGTTTCCGTTTTAATTTTTTTATTATAACTTTACTTTGTGTTGCGTTCAATTTTTTTATTATAATTTTATTTTCCGTTTAATTTTTTTTTCTTTTTATCTTTAATACATAAAAAAAGCGTTACGTTTTTTCTTACAGTTTATGGTTCATACTTACAATTTGCAATTTAAAAGAATTAAAAACAAAAGAAATTGTTTTTTTAATTTCTTTTATTTTTTCTACGTATAATTAAAAGCTTAAAATTAATAATATTTTGTTTTTATTTTCTTTTTTCTTCATTAAAATAAACAGGCTGAATGTGTTGTACTGAGGGATCGTAAATTAAATATTGCACCAGCCATTAAAAAACAGGTTAGTTTATTTGAATTGATATTAAGTTTTACCCTAATTTTTCGTTTTCTAATATTATTAATATTTTAATTAAAATTTCTCTTTTTTTTCTTTAATTGCTTAAAATTTTAGTCAATTGTGGCTGCAAATGGTGCTGTCTATTACACAACTACACCTCCAGCTCCCATTAGTAATATGCCTATTGATCAATTTGCCGCCGCTGTTTATCCACCAGGTATTTATGGTATTTAAATTTCGAAAATGTTTTAAAGAAACTTATAAATACAATTTATTTATATGCATTACTAGTGAAAATAGTAGCAAATTTTCATCTTCTGTTTCAGAATACAGTTTTCGTATAAAAAAGTGTTATCAGAAGACAGCTTTCATATAGAAAAGGGTCTTCAGAAGACAATTTTCATAAAGAAAGAAGACAGATTTCAAATAGAAATGTTCAGTTCAAATTCGGTTCAGTTCTGTTTCAGTTCTAGTTCAGTTTTAGTTCAGTTCTAGTTCAGTTCTAGTTCAGTTCTAGTTCAGTTTCTAGTTCAGTTCTAGTTCAGTTCTAGTTCAGTTCTAGTTCAGTTCTAGTTCAGTTCTAGTTCAGTTCTAGTTCAGTTCTAGTTCAGTTCTAGTTCAGTTCTAGTTCAGTTCTAGTTCAGTTCTAGTTCAGTTCTAGTTCAGTTCTAGTTCAGTTCTAGTTCAGTTCAGTTCTAGTTCAGTTCTAGTTCAGTTCTAGTTCAGTTCTAGTTCAGTTCTAGTTCAGTTCTAGTTCAGTTCTAGTTCAGTTCTAGTTCAGTTCTAGTTCAGTTCTAGTTCAGTTCTAGTTCAGTTCTAGTTCAGTTCTAGTTCAGTTCTAGTTCAGTTTCTAGTTCAGTTCTAGTTCAGTTCTAGTTCAGTTCTAGTTCAGTTCTAGTTCAGTTCTAGTTCAGTTCTAGTTCAGTTTTAGTTCAGTTCTAGTTCAGTTTTAGTTCAGTTCTAGTTCAGTTCAGTTCTAGTTCAGTTCTAGTTCAGTTCTAGTTCAGTTCTAGTTCAGTTCTAGTTCAGTTCTAGTTCAGTTCTAGTTCAGTTCTAGTTCAGTTCTAGTTCTTCTAGTTCAGTTCTAGTTCAGTTCTAGTTCAGTTCTAGTTCAGTTCTAGTTCAGTTCTAGTTCAGTTCTAGTTCGTTCTAGTTCAGTTCTAGTTCAGTTTTAGTTCAGTTCTAGTTCAGTTCTAGTTCAGTTCTAGTTCAGTTCTAGTTCAGTTCTAGTTCAGTTCTAGTTCAGTTCTAGTTCAGTTCTAGTTCAGTTTTAGTTCAGTTTTAGTTCAGTTCTAGTTCAGTTCTAGTTCAGTTCTAGTTCAGTTCTAGTTCAGTTCTAGTTCAGTTCTAGTTCAGTTCTAGTTCAGTTCTAGTTCAGTTCTAGTTCAGTTCTAGTTGTTCTAGTCGAGTTCTAGTTCAGTTCTAGTTCAGTTCTAGTTCAGTTCTAGTTCAGTTCTAGTTCAGTTCTAGTTCAGTTCTAGTTCAGTTTAGTTCAGTTCTAGTTCAGTTCTAGTTCAGTTCTAGTTCAGTTCTAGTTCAGTTCTAGTTGTTCTAGTCGAGTTCTAGTCAGTTCTAGTTCAGTTCTAGTTCAGTCTAGTTCAGTTCTAGTCAGTTCTAGTTCAGTTCTAGTTCAGTTCTAGTTCAGTTCTAGTTCAGTTCTAGTTCAGTTCTAGTTCAGTTCTAGTTCAGTTATAGTTCAGTTCTAGTTCAGTTCTAGTTCAGTTTTAGTTCAGTTTTAGTTCAGTTCTAGTTCAGTTCTAGTTCAGTTCTAGTTCAGTTCTAGTTCAGTTCTAGTTCAGTTCTAGTTCAAGTTCTAGTTCAAGTTCTAGTTCAGTTCTAGTTCAGTTCTAGTTCAGTTCTAGTTCAGTTCTAGTTCAGTTCTAGTTCAGTTCTAGTTCAGTTCTAGTTCAGTTCTAGTTCTATTCTAGTTCAGTTCTAGTTCAGCTCTAGTACAGTTCTAGTTCAGTTCTAGTTCAGTTCTAGTGTTAGTTCTAGTTCAGTTCTAGTTCAGTTCTAGTTCAGTTCTAGTTCAGTTCTAGTTCAGTTCTAGTTCAGTTCTAGTTCAGTTCTAGTTCAGTTGTAGTTCAATTCTAGTTCTGGTTTAGTTCTAGTTCTAGTTCTGGTTTTGTTCTAGTTCAGTTAAAGTCCAGTTCTAGTTTAGTTCTGGTTTAGTTCTAGTTCAGCTCTAGTTCTGTTCTAGTTCTGTTCCAGCTTTATTCCAGAAATATGATTTTAAATGTTTTCTTATAGAATAACGTTTCTTTTTTCTTATTTTAACAATTTGTCATTTCCCACCTACGACTGTCAGCATTTAATTGGCAAAAAAAACCCAAAATTTTTAAAAACACCATAAAATTTCGTGTTTGTTTCGGTCATGTTAGTAATGTGTATAAATATTAAATTTGCCAAATTTTATTTTAGCGTAAAATCTTTTTTGTTTTCTATTTACATATAATATTTAAATTTATTTATCTTTTTAGCCGCTGCAGCAGCTGGTGTGCCAACAATTTACCCACCTTCAATGCAATATCAACCATTCTATCAATACTACAGTGTGCCAATGGTGAGTAAAATGATTTTCTAAATGAATCTAAAGGGATTTTGAAATTGAATTTGATTTCTTTGTCATTCTCTCATTCATTCATTAACTTATTTAATGTTTATTTTTATATTAACAACAAAACTAATAAAATCATTGTTATTTGTATTTTTACAGAATGTACCCACCATTTGGCCCCAAAATTATCAAGGTAATTAAAAATTTATTTATTTTCCACTTGATTTTTATGTTTCTTTTTCTGTTCTTAAATTTTTATTGTTATTGTCTTATTTACTACAACAAACTAACCACAAATACTACTACCACTACATTTTAAACTTACACTAAATGAATTTTACAAGAATTTTCTTTTTATACACAAATAATATATATTTTCGCTTTTATTACATTAAAAAAATAAAATTGTAATTTTTTTGGTTGTTGTGCTAATTTAAAATTATTTTTATATATTTTACAACCACCCCCTTTTAATATTATATATTTAAATAAAAAGAATCACCCCTTCTCCTTCTCCTCATTCTCTTGCACTTTTCATTTTCTTTTTTTGCTTATTCGTTTTTGTTAATATCGTTGTTTTTTTGTTTAAAAACAACAACACAAATATAAAAAATGTTTGTGAAAATAGCAGACAAATAGGAATTTTCTTTAATATTTTTTTTCTTAATTTCACCATTAAATTTTTCCCTTTCGCTTGCAACCTCTAGCTGTTTCTCATTTTTTTTATTCTTAGAAAATAATCAATATCAAATTTTTTAAGTGTCTCTTCTTGTTTTTGTTTATTTTTGTGTCATTTCGAAATTGCGAAATTAATCATTGCACTTTTGACAGCTGCTACAAATTTTGTCAATTTATTTTAATTTTTTTATAATTTGTATGACATTATTATGAAAATGGTGTGATTTGTATGTTTTTCGTTTTTCTTTCGAAAATGTTCAGCCTTATTCTAGAAATAATGCATTTTCTGGTAAAGACAACTCGCTTGAGAATAGAACTGCACTAATACAGAACTGGCAACTGGCTTGAGAATAGAACTGAACTAAAACTGAACTAGAACAGAACTGACATCTGACTGACAACTAGAACTGAACTAGAACTGAACTAGAACTGAACTAGAACTGAACTAGAACTGAACTAGAACTGAACTAGAACTGAACTAGAACTGAACTAGAACTGAACTAGAACTGAACTAGAACTGAACTAGAACTGAACTAGAACTGAACTAGAACTGAACTAGAACTGAACTAGAACTAAACTAGAACTGAACTAGAACTGAACTAGAACTGAACTAGAACTGAACTAGAACTGAACTAGAACTGAACTAGAACTGAACTAGAACTGAACTAGAACTGAACTAGATCTGAACTAGAACTGAACTAGAACTGAACTAGAACTGAACTAGAACTGAACTAGAACTGAACTAGAACTGAACTAGAACTGAACTAGAACTGAACTAGAACTGAACTAGAACTGAACTAGAACTGAACTAGAACTGAACTAGAACTGAACTAAATGAACTAGAACGAACTAGAACTGAACTAGAACTGAACTAGAACTGAACTAGAAACTGAACTAGAACTGAACTAGAACTGAACTAGAACTGAACTAGAACTGAACTAGAACTGAACTAGAACTGAACTAGAACTGAACTAGAACTGAACTAGAAACTGAACTAGAACTAGAACTGAACAGAAACTGAACTAGAACTGAACTAGAACTGAACTAGAACTGAACTAGAACTGAACTAGAACTGAACTAGAACTGAACTAGAACTGAACTAGAACTGAACTAGAACTGAACTAGAACTGAACTAGAACTGAAACTAGAACTGAACTAGAATGAACTAGAACTGAACTGAACTAGTACTGAACTAGAACTAAACTAGAACTAAACTAGACTAAACTAGAACTAAACTAGAACTGAACTAGAACTGAACTAGTACTGAACTAGAACTAAACTAGAACTAAACTAGAACTAAACTTGAACTGAACTAGAACTGAACTAGACTGAACTAGAACTGAACTAGAACTGAACTAGAACTGAACTGGAACTGAACTGGAACTGAACTAGAACTGAACTAGAACTGAACTAGAACTGAACTAGAACTGGACTAGAACTGAACTAGAATTGAACTAGAACTGAAATAGAACTGAACTAGAACTAAACTAGAACTAAACTAGAACTGAACTAGAACTGAACTAGAACTAAACTAGAACTAAACTAGAACTAAACTAGAACTAAACTAGAACTAAACTAGAACTGAACTAGAACTGAACTAGAACTGGACTAGAACTGAACTAGAATTGAACTAGAACTGAAATAGAACTGAACTAGAACTAAACTAGAACTAAACTAGAACTAAACTAGAACTGAACTAGAACTGAACTAGAACTAAACTAGAACTGAACTAGAACTAAACTAGAACTAAACTAGAACTGAACTAGAATTGAACTAGAACTGAACTAGAACTGAACGAGAACTGAACTAGAACTGAACTAGTACTGAACTAGAAATGAACTAGAACTAAACTAGAACTAAACTAGAACTGAACTGAACTAGAACTGAACTAGAGCTGAACTAGAACGGAACTAGTACTGAACTAGAACTAAACTAGAACTAAACTAGAACTGAACTAGAACTCTAGACATCTTTCTATAGGAAAGTGGTCTTCCATGTCGCTTTTCTATATGAAAACTGTTTTCGAAAAGAACTGTTCGTTCTATGTGAGTACTGTCTTTAAAAGACATTTTCTCTATTAAGACTGTTTTCTGAAGATACTATTATGTATGAATACAGACAAAGACAATTCTACAGGAAATTTGTTTTGTAAATACAGCGTTATTAAATTTTAACATTTTGCAAATATTTGTTTTATTAATTTTCTAACTTTTTTTTTAATAATTTCTTTCCCACATTAATGTTAATTAATTTTTGTTAATATTTAATTGTTTATACATTTTTTTGTTTTTTTTTTTAATTTTTTTTTTTTAACACCAACTCAGTTGAGTCAACTTTACTGGCTTATGGAGGCACCAATGCAGCGCAACTTTAAACTCATCATCATAACTATTTTTTGTTTAAAATTAGAAAAATATCATCATTTATTTTTTAATTTTGTTTAGTTATTATTAATTAATAATAATAATGGTTTTTTGTGTTAAAACAAAACAACAACTTTAACATAAAACATAAACATTTTTTTAAAAGAATGTTGAAAAAAACAAATTTTGCAACACTTTTTTTTATAAATATAAGTTTTAGTTTTAATGCAAAAAAAAGAACACATACTACACAATTATTTAATTAACATTAAAAATATGCTTATAATTTTAAGAATTTATGAAAAAAAAAAAAAAACAAAAGCAAAAACAACTATAAGCAATTAATAAGCCATAAATAACCTTAATTTTTTAATATTATTTATATGCTAAATAATTTAATTTTTATTTTAAAAAGAAAAAAAAACATAAACAATTACAAATATTTAAATTAAATTTATAATAAATTGATTATTATAGGTATTTATCCATGTTAATTTTGAGGATTAAACAAAATACAAACCAAAATATATATAAAAAACAGCAACAACAACAAATAAAAGTAAAATTTTAAACCACCATCCCATCATATATAAAATCAATTAAACAACAACCGATAAACCAACCAAACAACCAACCAACAACAACAACCACAGCTATAAAACTACAATAATTATAGAGAGAAAAACATTTTAACAACAAATTATTAAAATACTACAGAAATTAAGAGAAAAAAATTAGAAAAATAAACCAGAAATTGCAACTACAATAACAAAAACAAAAAACAACGCACTTTTCTGAAATATATGAAAAATAAAAGGATAAAATAGCAAACGGAAACTAAACCGAAGAAAAAAAACGTATTTTTTTTTTTTCAATAATTTGTAAGGATGATAGATAGACAGCAACAACAACCAGAAAAACAAACCAACTACAGCAACATCAACAATACATACACTACAACAAAAACAACAATACTGAGAGAACTACCGAAAAAAAATTTATTATAATCATTAAGCATAAATTACTACAAGAAGCTCATTTTATATAGAGTGTACTACTAACCTAATACATTTTTACTCTTCTCCTTGTACAACCAAAAAATAAAAACAACAATAAATATTACGTATACTACTCGTTGTACAGCAGCCATTGTTATTAAGAGGAAAAGAGAAGAGCAAAAGAAAACTGTTTTATTATAATAATCTGTTATATTTTTTCATTGTATGTATCAGTTATGGAAAATTTAAATTTTGAAATAGTACTTTATAAGTCCAAAAAAAGTAATATTTTTAGGCTCAAAAGTACCAAAATTGTGCGGGAATTCTTCTTGAACCCTAAAGACGATAGACTCTACATAGATTAGACTAGACAGTACACTAGGCTATGGACTAGACTGTACACTAGGCTATGGGCTAGACTATATACTAGACTATAGACTAGACTATAGACTAGACTATAGACTAGACTATGGACTGGACTATAGACTAGACTATAGACTAGACTATAGACTTGACTATAGACTAGACTATAGACTAGACTATAGACTAGACTATAGACTAGACTATAGACTAGACTATAGACTAGACTATAGACTAGACTATAGATTAGACTATAGACTAGACTATAGACTAGACTATAGACTAGACTATAGACTAGACTATAGACTAGACTATAGACTAGACTATAGACTAGACTATAGACTAGACTATAGACTAGACTATAGACTAGACTGTAGATTAGACTATAGACTAGACTATAGACTAGACTATAGACTAGACTATAGACTAGACTATAGACTAGACTATAGACTAGACTATAGACTAGACTATAGACTAGACTATAGACTAGACTATAGACTAGACTATAGACTAGACTATAGACTAGACTATATACTATACTATAGACTAGACTATAGATTAGACTATAGACTAGACTGTAGACTAGACTATAGATTAGACTATAGACTAGACTGTAGACTAGACTATGGACTAGACTATAGACTAGACTATAGGCTAAACTATGGACTAGACTATAGGCTAGACTATGGACTAGACTATAGACTGGACTAGACTATAGACTGGACTAGACTATAGTCTAGACTATAGACTAGACTATAGACTAGACTATAGACTAGACTATAGACTAGACTATAGACTAGACTATAGACTAGACTATAGACTAGACTATAGACTAGACTATAGACTAGACTATAGACTAGACTATAGACTAGACTATAGACTAGACTATAGACTAGACTATAGACTAGACTATAGACTAGACTATAGACTAGACTATAGACTAGACTATAGACTAGACTATAGACTAGACTATAGACTAGACTATAGACTAGACTATAGACTAGACTATAGACTAGACTATAGACTAGACTATAGACTAGACTATAGACTAGACTATAGACTAGACTATAGACTAGACTATAGACTAGACTATAGACTAGACTATAGACTAGACTATAGACTATAGACTAGACTATAGACTAGACTATAGACTAGACTATAGACTAGACTATAGACTAGACTATAGACTAGACTATAGACTAGACTATAGACTAGACTATAGACTAGACTATAGACTAGACTATAGACTAGACTATAGACTAGACTATAGACTAGACTATAGACTAGACTATAGACTAGACTATAGACTAGACTATAGACTAGACTATAGACTAGACTATAGACCAGACTATAGACTAGACTATAGACTAGACTATAGACTAGACTATAGACTAGACTATAGACCAGACTATAGACTAGACTATAGACTAGACTATAGTCTAGTCTAGACTATAGACTAGACTCTACGTCTAAACTGTAGACTAGACCCTAGTCTAAACTGTAGACTAGACTCTAGTCTAAACTATAGACTAGACTGTAATCTAAACTATAGACTTAAGACACTAGTCTAAAAAGTTTAAGGTCAGAATACCGCGTTTAATATCGAGAAGTACTTAATTAAATACCATATTATGAACTAAATTTTCCATCTCTGGTATGTATAATTTATTTTTTGTTGTTTGTTTTGTTTATTGTATGAAAAATCTACTTCTCTACTTTTCATAAAAAAGAACGAAAGAAAAAAAGAAATGATAAAATACATACAGTTTATAAAGAAGAGTAATAACAACAATTACAGCAAACTACATATAACAGTAACAATAACAATAATACACATACTTACATACTCTCTCGTAAACACAATAGTTTTTATTAAAGTTTTTGTTTATTTATTTCTTTTTTTTCGGTTTTTGACCATCTTTTAAATTATACTTTTTTGCTTCTATTATTCTTAACTTGCTGAGAAGTTATAAGAGCAATAACAAAAATGGTCAAAATTTGTTTTTTGTGCGTTACATACACACACATACGTTTTTTTTTTTTTTTTTTTTAACAACGACCCACAGGAAATGAAGTAATAAGAAAAAGATTTAGTATCCTCTTTCAGTGAGAAAAAAAAACGGACATTTTGTTAAACAACACTCGCACAAACTTAAACAAAATGTTTTTTTTATTCGTTTTTCTTTTTTTTTTTTTTTCAATATAAAAAACTACAATAATTTAAAAAGGGAAAAGAAAGCTTACGATCTTGATCTTGAAAATGATTAAAAAAGAAATTAAAATTTTTTATTCAAATTTTTTCGCTGTTTAAAAGTAATTTTGTTTGAAATTAACTTTAAAATTGTGAGCTTAACTTCGAATGAAGTTACATTAAGCAGAAAGGAAATTTTGTTTGTTTTTTTAAGTAATTAAAGTAGATTTCAACTAAATATTGAGGTTCTTAAAGATATTTTTCTTTAAATTTGGAAAATTTCGCAATCGTTTGTTCTCGAAGTAGAGTCTCTTTTGTTTACTTAATGTGATTAGTTAGGTGGCTGTAGAAGAAAGTTAATAGACATTACTTAAGTCACATAGAGAAAGTTCTGTTGGTTGATTTATAGTAGCCAATGTATGATAATGTTCTTATTCGTTGGAAAGAGGAAACACTTTGAAATCCAAATTTGTTTAACAAATTTCGATAATTTCCCTTTAGAAGAATCTATTTACAGAGCAACTACCCTGATTACTTAGTTAATTAACTAATTGTTTTTAGTATGTTAGAATTGAAGTCAAGGATTTCATTCTAATGACAAGCTTGTCAAATCACTTGAAAGACTACAATTGACTTGATAACAGTAATACAAACGAATATAACCTACAGGCCGAATCTTTAATATTGGAATCATTTACGAGGAAATCTCATCTTCTTCCGCCAATAGAAGTAAAATTGTGTTTTCATTCTTCTCGTAGGGAAAATTGCTTTAGTGAACTTGCCGTGAACAATTCATTTACAATAGTTGACTTTTTTAGTAACAGCTGTTCATTGTTTACAAAATTTCATTAGAAAATTTCGCAACAGGAACAATTTTTTACGTCAAAAAAGTTACTAGACGAAAGAAGTGAAATGGATCATATTTCACGTGACATTTTCATTGTCGATAGTTTCTTCCTATCTATGTCGTTTTCCCTTCCTTTTTGACTTGTTTTCTCTTTTTCTCTTTTCTTGCTTGATTGTTTACCTTGAGATTTGTATTGTAAATGTTGTGTCCTTTCTTTTTACTACCCAGCAGTTCGACAAAAGAGTCATATCATCAGAAAATGACAGTCACTTTCACTAGGGTCTAACCACCTGGTTGTCTATAATTCGACTTTCAATTCGAATATACTTTTTATAAATGAGCGTAAAAACAGCCATCGCTTTAGTGACCCCTTTGTAAGCGATAGCGCAGATAGTTGCCACTTTACTGTGCTCAAGTAATCTAAAGAGTAGAGACTTAAAAGAACTTTCTTTTCACTACCCAGCAGTTCGACAGAAGAGTTAATGCATTTCCACGATCTTCTAACCACCTAGTTGACTCTAATTGGACTTTCGCCACTCTTTGTAAATGAGAGTAAAGACAGCCATCGCTTTAGTGTCTTCTTTGTAAGCGAGAGCGCAGACAGTTGTCACTTTACTGTGCCTAAATAATCTAGAGAGTACATACTTAAAAGAACAACTTAAACAAAAATGTTCATTGCCATATGTTGACTCCTTTGGACAAGCTTTCTGACTGCCTGACAAACACGCGTTAACCACCGGGTTGACACTAATTCGACTTTCGTCGCGAATGTACTCTTTGTAAATGAGAGTTAAAACAGACACCGCTTTAGTGCCTCTTTTATATGCGAGGGCGCAGAGGGTTGTCACTTAACTATGCCCGAGTAATCTAAAGAGGACATACTTAAAAGAACAACTTAAGGGAAACTGTTCTATGCTATGTATTAACTCCTTTGGACAAGCTTTTTGGCTGCCTCTGTGTTATCTAAAGAGTGGCGATTGACTTTCCCGTAAGACAAACACTTGTTTATCACCTGGTTGACACTATTTCGACTTTCTTCACGAATAAACTCTTTGTAAAGGAGAGTGAAAACAGCCGTCGCACAGCCTTTTGTAAGCGAGAACGCAGACAGTTGTCACTTTACGGTGCTCAAGTAACTCTTAAAAGAACAACTTAAGCAAAAATGTTCATTGCCATGTGCTGACTCCCTTGGACAAGCTTTCTGGCTGCCTTTGTGTTATCCATGGAGTGGCGATTGACTTCCTTCTAGGACAAGCACATGTAAACAACCTGATTGACTCTAATTCGACTTTCGTCACGCATATATTCATTATAAATGAGAGTAAAAACAGCCACCGCTTTGGTTTCCCCTTTGAAAGCGAGAGCGCAGAGACTTATCACTTTACTGTGCCTAAGTAATCTAGAAAGTAGATACTTGAAAGAATAACTTAAGGGAAACTGTTCTTTGCTATGTATTGACTCCTTTCGACATGGAGTGTTATCAATGGAGTAGCGTTTGACTTCCTCCTAGGACAAGGACTTGTTAAAACAGCCAGTCAACTGGTCAGTCGGTGGATAGAAGCAAACTTGTGTTGTAGGCTAAACAGATAATTTAGCGCCAAACTACTGGGTATTATCTCCAGTGCGTTGTTTTTACTTTATTGTTCCATTGAGAAGCTACACAAGTGGTTAAACATTTATTTTGAATCCAACTGTTCGGCAAAGAGTCAATCACCTGGTTGGCTCTAATTAGTCTTTCGT